AAGAGTTTACTCTCAGGCTTCAGGCAGCCTCACTAACTCCAGGAGTTAAACAAAATCCGGAGCAGACAGTCAGCCATCTAGCTTTGCTAAGGGCTTGCGAGCAGCCAGTGCAGAACTACATTTCCCAGCGCTCCCAGTGGGGCAAGAGCGACTCAGACCCAGTAAGACAGCTGCTCCGCTCTTTGCTTCTGGGGTCAACGTGGGACTCTGGTAGCTGATCCCCGCTGCTGGAGACAGCACTCCTTCCGCACAGAGCACAGTAAGTGGGGGAAAATGTGTGGGGAGTGCAGGCCAAGATCCACCTCCTGCCAGCTGTACGGCGTAGGTGAGATTTACAGGCAAGACAGGGCAGTTTGGGCTGGCCTCTCCCGAGATCAAGTTTTCACTGCCTCTGAGTTTTCAGCGATCCTAACCAAAATCTGGCATTGTGGTTCCTAGGAAGGAAGGGGTTAACGCCTGCATACACTGCATTTCATCGTTCCAGGTACAAACTATTCCTCTTGTCCTCAGCCGGTCACATCCCGGTGCTCATTCCAGAGCAAAGTGCAGAGCTGTTTGTTAAACTCCTCCTCAATTCGGTGCTGGCTGCTGCGCTGGAGATTTTCACACACCGGGCTATACGAGACGTGGAGGCGGAGAAGTGACGGGCACGTAATCGTCGCACCACAAAATTGTTTCAGACACGGTCTCTGCGGCAGTCGCCATCCTCGCATGTGTCCGCCCGAGCCTGTTGGCAGCGCGCCGAGTTCCCACTGCTGCGGCTGAAGCGCCGAGCAGGGACGCCGATGCTCTCCCCAGCGGCTTCCGCAGCAGGCTTGGCTCCCTCGTCTCCCCAGGGATCATCCCGGTGAAGACCACCCTCAGCTGAGACAGTGGGAAAGAGGGATCCGGGGCAGAGATGTCAGAAGGCGCAAGGCAAAGCCTCCACGCACGGATAGGAGCCTCTGCTCAGGCACCACGCGGGCTTGGGAGCCGTCGCTGACCTTTACCGAAAGGAAGGACTCACAGGCTCTTCTTTGGCACTGCCTACGTGTCTGTAAATTGAAGCAAACATAACCTCCTCCTTAAAGGGCTTCGAGTTCCATGGTCGAAAAGTGAAATATTCAAAATAATCGTTAAAGATTATGAATCATACTTCATTTTTGTTTGAGATGAATGCTAGAGATGGTAGCGTTTCTGGCTCTTTTCTGACATCCCGAAGCTGAGTTCAAACTGCAGTCTGCGACTGCCTGAGCTGAAAATGTGGCAGGATCCTTTGGCACAGAAAAACATTCGTAGCTGGAGATGATCCGATTCAGCTGCAACTGCTGTCTCTCATCTAACTCGGGGAATTCTCTTCCGCAGCTGATATTTTGTCTTTTTCATTCTCCTCTGGCATCAGTGCCTTTCCCACAGATCTGCTGTGTGCTGCAATAGGATGTTCAGCTGGATCGAGGCCATCACAACCGTGTAGGCAACAAAAAAGAGAGCAGCCACCTTCACTGCTCTCTTCCCCAGGGATACAGGGGTTTAGGACAGGAACATTGAGCCTAGTCCTAGAGCAATTTCTGTAAGACCTTCTGTGCACGCTCACAGATGGAAACAAACTGAGGTATCTTTAAATAGCCTTAAAAATTGCCCGAAACTGGGTTTGCTGTGTGACTAGAGAAAAAGACCAAAGCGATAATTTTAGAAAGCAGATGCCAGCATTCTGCAGACTCTGCGAGAGGGAGATTTCTGGTAGCAGTGGGTTATTGCACCTTTTAAATCAAATCAAACTTAACTTTGTAGGGCCGCTGCATGATATTCTATGCTTCTCTTTTTAGGCAGAGACAGCTACCTGTAGGCGTTGGTTATGGCTGTGATTTATCAAGCAGTGTATAGAAGAGCTTCCTCTCTCTTCTGCAGGTTACACTCTACCTATGTTAGAAAAATGAGGTAAGTTCTCGTCTGATTCTTGTGTACAGTGAGACAACCAGAGTTTGGCGCTCATGTCCACTGTCACAAGCAGCCCTACCTAAATCTAACCCAGGGGTTAATCTTTTAACAGTTCAGCAATAGTATAGTAATGCTGTGTGAGCTCTGTAAATGATAACAGTCAAAATCTCTCCACTCCCCACTGATAAGAACTGGTTCTCTCAGGCTGAAGCTCTGTTAATGAATGCCTATGCTTGCCATCCTAGCTAAAGATCTCTTAAAATACAAGGCAGACTTGAAGTGACGCTGCTCACCTCGTTTTAAATACTACTTCAAACAGTCTGAAAGCAGCACATCAGAGAATCACAGAATCATAGAATCGTTTAGGTTGGAAAAGACCTTTCAGATCATCCAGTCCAACCATTAACCTAACACTACCAAGTCCACCACTAAACCAATTAAGGGGAGAGTAATAATTTCATGTTTCCTGGCTTGGTGGCTGGATTATTTATAATGAAAGTAAAAACTAGGAATCATTAAGGTTGGAAAGGACCTCTAAGATCATCATTCCAACCATCAACCTAAAACCCCCATGCCCACTAAACCATGTCCCAAAGTGCCACCTCTGCCCGTTTTTTGAACACTTCCAGGGATGGGGACTCCACCACCTCTCTGGGCAGCCTGTTCCAATGCTTGACCACCCTTTCCGTGAAGAAATTTTTTCCTAATATCCAATCTAAGCCTCCCCTGGCGCAGCTTGAGCCCACTTCCTCTCGTCCTATCACTAACTACTTGGGAGAAGAGCATCCTGACACCCTTTTTCCAATGACTGCTTTCCCTAACTCAAGCCCCGGCCAGCTGGGCCCTAAGACTTCAGCTTGGTCTTTGCCCCTCATGTCAGCGTGACAGGTAGAACGTACCCTGCAGTGATGCACGTAGCCTGATGGGAAGTGTATTCAACATCTGAAGTGCTCAGTAGCCTTGCCAAACAGGACCTGGAGCCATCCAGATTCAGGGGATAAAAGGGAAGGTCAAGGTTTCCTGCACATAAGTGATCATGTCTATAAAGCGGACCCCTTGCATTAAGAGAATGGGTTTACTGATCTTCTCGGATGTCCAAGACTTGAGGCTACTTGTGTAGTAGTAAGAACTGCAGTATTTTCTGCCACATGGCAGGTTCGCTAGAGGCTACAGCCCACCAAAGAGTAGACTCATCTGTCAAAAACTCCAGAAGCATGTGGAACACATAAAATCTGTACTGTCTGTTCAGCCCCCCTGCTCTGTGCAAAAGAAATGCATCCAAATAAGCTAACAACAAGTTACCTCAACATGGTCTTGAATTCATCTTCCCAGTTCTTTTCTCACTGCAGATACTTAAATGAGCTAAAGGAAGATGACAGCCTTTGTAGACAAGCACAGACCTCAGGAACCTTCTACCTCTTTCACAACCTCTCCCCCTTCCTGCAGGAAGTTGGGAAGAAATATTTGGTACCACAGCTCAGTGCAGCAGGTAAGCAGGTATCTGGAAAGAAATGCCTCCTAGATCATGCAGCTGAAGTGATACAGAGTCGTTTGTAATAAGCAACCCCTTAGATGGGGGTTGAAAACCTATCAAGCTGTGCAGAAACATCCCGCTATCTGCAGCATGCTATTTGTTAACAACCAAAGACTATTTAGAGTTAAAACCCTGGCATGCAGACACAAGCTCATGCTCTTCACGTGCACGCAGTATCAGCATATAGCTGATCTGTTCCGAGATGATCAGTTTTAAACATTTGGGACCATGCCTTTTGAAGAGAAAGGGTTGGCAGGAAAACAAGCAAGGTCTAACTGACAAAGGTTATTTGGCATGAACGCAGGAGAAGTCTTCTTTGAGAGAAAGGTATTGGCTGGTGTAGGACAGAAACAGAACGGACAGCTGCTCCCCCAGCGTTACAACATTTACATCTTTAGCTTGACGTGGTCAAAACTTCCAACAGCTAGAAGGAAAGCCAGACTTTTGGTCTCCATCTGGGTGGGACCAGTTGTCTGGTCCCCTCTCTCACATGAGCACCCTGCCTTGAGCCAAGATTGCGTGTGCCTTGAAGATCCAGAGAGCGCACCACAGTTGTATGAATTTGCTTTCATCACAGCTTTTTCTTCCTCTTTCCCCTGCTGTTTAGAGATGAAAAGGATCCTGGAGAAATTCAAAGAGACTGAACAGTGGATAGAGAAGTCGGTGCTGATCGGTTGTTCAGACGAGCACGTACCACAGTTTGCCCTGGATTTAGGTTGGGATGAACTCCTCTTCGGTCTGTGTTAGCATCGCGTTTCATGCACTGAGATGAAGACGCTGCCGAGGCAGCATCCCTAGTCCTTGCTGGGTGAACATTTACCGCCAAAGAGGACTCGGTTGAGTCTCTATAGGAGCTGTTGTCAGCATGGTGGGTCAGAGCCACCAAACTGCACCTCTGTTCCTGTGCACGTGTCAGTAAAGGTGGGCTGTTGGCAGGTCCCTTAACATTTGGGAATATTACACCACTGACATGATGTCACTTCCACGGGAACTTCCAGAAATTGTATACCGGAACAATGAAGGGCGTAAGGTTGGGATAGTAGCTGCAATTTATGAGATCAACAATTTTTTGTTGTTGTTGTTTTTTTTAAACAGGAGCCTTGGAGAAATCAGTCATTGAGTCTGAACTCAAGGGATCGTTTACTGACTTACGAAAGGCTCTCTTTGTAGTGGATGGGAAAGATTCTCCTTTTCTGGCTTCGGTATTGTACAGGAATTTTTACTTTAAGAAGTTGCGATTTCTAACATCTACCCTTCTCCTTGTCTCCCATATCGTATGATTTAATACGTATTGTGGAAGTCCCTACTGTACACTTTCAGTGATCTAGGTACAAACACACTACACATTACAGCAGTTTTCCCAAATTTGCGATCCCAAAAGCAAGCTGCAATGGAAAGAGAAACAGACAAGTGGCTTAAAAATGACCACAGTAATTAGCCATTTAGCATCAACCTGCTGTATGTTCCAGTGTGAAACATACTGATCTCAGCAGCAGTCACAGCAATCCCTGTTTGTCCTCAGCTTAACAACTATCAGGCACTAGTCTTCTGTCATCTTCCAGGCAAACTGAATTTCATGAACGAACTTACAGACCTTCTCTCAGAGCTGCTCCTTTAAAACTACTCACTTATAAGCTGTTACTCTGCAGATGCCGTATGTTCGGAAGTCCTAAGAAAAGACCCGTGTGTGCAAATCAGCTGTCCTGACCCATAAGTAGAAAAAGCTCATGTTTCTTTTCCTGCTCTAGAATGTTTGTGGTGCTTGGGCTATTTTTCAAGAAGGTATTCAGGGCTGGAGACTCCTTAGAATAGTTCATTTCCCATTACTACTCCCATTATATCCCAATAAAGAACAACTCTTCCCCATCTCCCCTGAACACACTCTAATTTGGATGCTAAAGCAAGGAGTACAAAACATCGATTGCAAAATCTGCCATTTTTCAAAGCAGTGCCCGTACTTAATTTACCTTTCTGAGACTTCCAAACATAATCAGAGTTTATCCACATGACTGCACGCTGGGGAGAAGACAGCAAACTATCGGAGACTGCTCTGAATCATCTCTTTGCCCCAGGTATAAATACGATTTGCGTTTCTCTCTTGGTGTTTGCAGGCCCAGTCCCTTCTCCGGTGGCACGATTCCCACCAGTACTGTAGCAAAACAGGGCAGCCCACTCAGAAAAATGTAGCTGGCAGCAAGCGTGTCTGCCATGCCAGCGGCATAACTTACTATCCACAGGTGAGCACCTGAACAGCAAAGGTAAGCAACACAGAGTCTCTGCGGCGACAAGCCAATGCTGCTGGGGCGCATGGAGGGGAACCTGTGAAAGGCAGCAGGAGTGCTTTGCGTGTCACTGGCTGCTTTTGCTTTAGTGTCCATCCAGTGACCGCCCAAACAGCTAAGAAAAGCAACAATTTGCACTTACTTGTTTGGTCTGAACTCCTTGCTTTGCTTTTTGATCCATTTGCTAGATGTCTCCAGTGGTCATCACCCTGGTGTCTGATGGGAGCCGGTGCCTCCTCGCACGACAGCCCTCATATCCCCGGGGGATGTACACCGCTCTGTCAGGCTTCTGTGACGTCGGTAAGGCGGTCTCTGATCCAGCGTGGTGGCCTCGGACATGCAGGGCGTGGGGGCAGAGCGATGGGACATCAAGCAAACGCACGCCTGTTTGCAGAGGAGGATGGAAACATAGGTGATATCAGGGAAAACCATACTGGATCTGAATAGATCGGTGTTGCCGTTCAGACAGAATTCACAATAGCTGTATGTATCTGAAAAGAATGGGAATTATGGGCATATATCAGTTGCTCTAGTCCCTGATGGTAAATACAAGAGTAAGACTCCCCAGGTTAGAACCCCGGATACTTTTTTAGTCCATTTTGTGTCTAGTGCAGCCTGGCTCAGAAGAAAAACTACAGACCTCTTGTTACAGGAGGGAAAATGGCTTAAAAAGGGAAACAATGAAGAGAGGCAGCATTGTTCTGTCCACCAGCTGTATAGAGACAAAGCCAAAAATGTCTCTGATGCCTCTGTTTAAGGGAGGTAAGCATTGTTGATGAATTTAACTGAGCGTCCTGCTGACAAGCGTTGCCAGGTCAGCACAGTCGGCGCTCCTGTGTGTGCGTGAGCGGTCAGGGCTAGAACACCTCAGAAATGAGCCTGCCTACATTTTCTTTGCCACGGTTTGCTGCCCTGAGGCCAGGCTGTCCTCACTTAACTTTGGTTGCTTCTAGGTGAAAACGTGGAGGAGACAGTCCGGCGAGAGGTGGCAGAAGAGGTGGGCCTGGAGGTGGAGTCACTCTGGTACTCAGCTTCTCAGCACTGGCCCTTTCCCAGCAGCTGCTTAATGATAGCTTGTCACGCGTTGGTGAGGGCGCAGCAGGCTGAGGTGAGCGGATGCAGGTTCCCCAAGGCATTTGCCTGCCCCCCTTACATAGCAAAATCTCTTTCAGTCCACAGACTTTTGTTTGGAGAGCATCAGATCCTCTCTAAATGCAGTTTCCCATCATCTTTCTCTACAAGCGAGGAACAAACTTCAAGATAATCATATCTTCCATTGCAACGTGCCAGATTTTGCACAGGTCACTGTATATATAACAAGCCCAGAGCCCAACACCCCAATATTTTCTCCTCTGAACTTTGCAGAGGAGGTGCTCTCTAGTATTACTATCTATTTGCCATAGAACATGCAGATTCTGCCATGTTAATTACTGTGCTCAGCCACTGGTACTTTGCGGGCCAGTGCCATCATGGAATAGGGCTACCTGATTTGTGGCTTCCCTGAGGAAACCAAGACAACAAAGCACTGGTGGACAGTAAGGTCCTTCCCCGTACTGGCATCAGCACTTTACTCGGGCATGGATGAAGCACTCTGGGCCTTCTAGCGTGGGATCTCTGTGGGTGCAAGAACAAGCCAGGTACCGCTGCCTACATTTAAATCCAATTTAAGGAACTGGTACTCTCTCAATTATTTCCAGATCAGTATGAACAGCCTGGAACTAGAGGAAGCCCACTGGTTTGGCCTGGAGGAAATCATGGAGGGTCTCAAGAGAGAGCCCAGATCTTCAAAGCAAGACGATGGTAGTTTTCTACCCTGGTTCCCTCCCAAACAGGCCATCGCTCACCAGCTGATCTGTGAGTGGGTTAAGCAGCAAACTTCCCAGCCGGCTTAGGCATGACTTCATCAAGTCTGCAATTCTACCAGAACTACGAAGGCTTGATACAAAAGCTTCCAACGTTACTGAAGGCAAAATCTGTGTTACAGCAAGGAGAGCACCAGACCGATGGCAGTCTTACACTCAGATGCACAGACCTACAAAGCCGTTTCTAAACGGACCATCCTCCGACAATTCCATGTACAGTGGATCACCTTTGAGATCCCATGACTTGCAGTGCTGTACAATAAAATTCTCAGTTCCAAAGCATCAAACTTACTGTGACCAGCTGCTGCTGTTGCCCAGCAAGCAACAGAACAGTGAGCCCCTGGCACCTATGTCCCATTTTCCTCCATTTTATCCATCTTGGATGGATAGAAAATGTACAATTTTTCCAGAAAACAATAAAGCGACAGTGGCACCTTTCAGCGTTCACTTATATGGAACTGGAAGAGCTATCAAAAAAACAGGAAAAAAAGCCACCGCCTGTATGCTTTCCCCTTCTGTTTCCCTTCCCATTCAATCTTCCAGTTTCATATAAAACATCCTATTTTTTTTGCAAATGTTAAGCGGGCTCCTACTTTGTTAAGATATCTGAGCAACGAAAAATATCTCTAGAGGCACCATTTTCCCACCAGTAAGACAGTGTTACTTCCATTGCAAGGAAGAGAGAACAGAGCTATCTGGTGGTAGAGAGTGGAAGAGCAAAACCTACATATAAACATGGTAGAACCCAGATAATACAAAGGTGAGAGGAACTGCTGCAAGAAAGGACTGCACTTCTGACAGAGAAAAATCCTGAAAGGCACAATGCCTCTTACCCTGTGCCAAAAGTCTGTGGCTTGCCTGGAGAGCTGGTCTCATTTTACTGATGAAATGGTATCACTTCTCTGGAGGGAGAGCGACAAAGAGATAGTCTGGGCAAGGAAAGCTTAGTAAAGGAGAGAGGTGGAAGGATGTTTGATCTGCTGCTGATTCAGGCTGGCTGTCCTTTCTGCCTACTTGGTCAAAGTTCAAATGCCAAGATAGCAAAGCCATCAGTATCACAGAATCATGGAATCGTTGAGGTTGGAAAAGACCTTTCAGATCATCCAGTCCAACCATTAACCTAACATTACCAAGTCCACCACTAAACCAGTTAAGGGGAGAGTAGCAACCCCATGCCTCCTGGCTTGGTAACTGGATCATTTATAATGAAAGTGAAAACTAGGAATCATTAAGGTTGGAAAGGATCTCTAAGATCATCAGTCTAACCATCAACCCAACACCCCCATGCCCACTAAACCATGTCCCCAAGTGCCACCTCTGCCTGTTTTTTGAACCCCTCCAGGGATGGGGACTCCCCCACCTCTCTGGGCAGCCTGTTCCAATGCTTGACTACCCTTTCCGTGAAGAAATTTTTCCTAATATCCAATCTAAAGCTCCCCTGGTGCAGCTTGAGCCCACTTCCTCTTGTCCTAAATAGTACAGATACTTGAAGGGGGAACAGGAATGTATCACTGACTGCCACCATTACGATTCATTGCAGCTGAAAGACCTTTTGAGCAATGGTAAAAATCTGGAGTCATGACACCTGAGCAAAAAGTAAAAAAGGCAGCTTTCTCACACTGTTGAGACATGCTTTGTTTCCTCAGGTTAATTTTACTTTAGGAGGTTGGGAGGGGATTCTTTCAGGCCATGGTGGCATGTGCAAACACCTTTCCCACCCTTACTAACTCTCAGGCAATAAAACCCACGCGTCAAAGCACGTCTTTCGTGTTTGTGCACTCAATCTGTCAGTCATCCTGCTAAGAATGTACTCTGGTAGAGCCAAGGGCATTGCTTCCTTCCCTCCAGCCCAGCCAGACATACCACAGGAGCCCACGCACCACTGAACTTAACTGCAACACTCCTGCGTCCAGTGGCCTTTGAAACATGTCTCGCTGCCTCTCTTCATTGTAGTTCCTCCTGTTTTCTCTCCCATCACACCATTTTAATTCCCCAGCATTTCTCTCTTCCTCTCTCATTCCTGGAATCTGCCATTTTCATTTTCAGCCTCACTCCTTTCTTCCCCTTCTCTGCGGTAGAAGATATTGAACAGTTAGATACCCGCCAGCAAGATATTCCCACTTCTCATCCTCCGTCCTACTTCTCCTTAATGCCTTCCCAGCTCATCCTTATGTAGTCCATTCATGTGCCCCAAGCTTGCTTCCAGTGTACAACATCCAGCTCGACGTACTTTGTAGCTTTTAATATCCACACATGATCTGTTCTCCCAGTGGCAGAAAAAGGACAAAAGAAGTAAAAGCAGCGAAAAGTAGTATGTATGAGTGAAAGGATGAACGGCTGTGTGACTACTGCAGTAATCTGAGCTGTGTGTGGTTTGGTTTTGTACTTTTACAGTACATATTTGCAGCGTCTGCCTTTGTCAAACCAGCTACAGTGTGATCAGATTCAACATCAGGGAAAATTCACCTGTGTTTGGGAAACATTGGGTTACTCTGCTTATTAAATGATGGTTTTTAACATCAACATGCAGGCTATCAGTGAGCTCTAACTGAAAGAGAGCAAGTACTGACTGACACCAGCTCCTTCAGAACTGTCCCTTCTACCTTGCTGACACAGACCCGTCCTGGTAGGGTGTCCCTTTGGGGTGGCGTGGGCACCACCAAGATTTTGAGACACAGCAGAAGACAGGCTGGTCACAGGAGATGTGATCAGTACTGCAGCCCCCTTGCTCCATGCCGGTGGGCCAGACACTGCCCAGCCTGAGGGTGCTAGATATCCACAAACTTCAGGACAACACTAAGAGTTGCGTTCCATCCCATGCTCTGACTATACCAGGCTTTTTCGGATTTCATCAGTTACCGCCCGTTTTCTATAAGACGAAATTTAAGAGGAAAAGCAAAGCTATTTTCTCATTTGTTTGCTTCTGTGACTTACCTTTTAAAACACAGTTTTAAATGTCTGCATGTTCCTTTTAATTATCAATTAGAAAAAAAGTCTTTTCAATCTAGTCAAACACTTTTTTTTTTTTTTGTAGAGCCAGAGCAACTCCAAAGCAGTATTCCCATCACATCTTTTAAAGGTCCTCAAATTTTAAACAGTTTTAAAAAAATCCTTAATCCATACCCTTTTGGCTTAGGTATGAAGCCATAATGGCGGCCTCTATTCCTGATGTTAAAAAAGCAGGAATGATTATAGGCAATACACAGCCATGAACAGGACAGAAAAACAAGATGAGAGAGACATTGTTCTCACTTGCATTTGCCTCAGAAATCTGGCTGAAGCCTGAGTAACACTCACGGCAGTCAAGATAGAACAAGCTCCCTAAAGGCAAGTGACCTGGAAAAACAAATGGGCAAATCCTGACAGATGCTTCTTCAACAAAACACAGCAGGGCTTTTCCACGTAAAAGATATCAAGCAGGCAAAAGGGACGTAGCAACATATTTCTCTCAAAAACGCATCCGTCAAGTGAATCCTCTTTGGGGACACTTGGCTTGTGTAAATCACTGAGACTCCACTGCTTCCAGAGACTGCAAGGGCTTGGGACTTAGAGCAAGACCTACCACTGAAAAGCAGTCAGCCTGCGGCGTTACAACCCAGTTAGCGTTTACAAGCATTACCAGTCAGCAGGATACATAGGCAGCTATAAAATAATAACATTCATCTGATTAATTTGAAATAGCTTTTCAGAGAGCAACACAGGCAGGTTCAGAGCAGCATTCCACCTACCCACCAAAAGCAGCAGGGCACAAAAGTTATGTTTATCTCCACCTCCAGGTGCCAGCAGAGGATTAAAAGTAACTAAACCACATGACACAACTTGTCTATCTCTGACTGAGGGAGCTTAGAAAAAATCTTACCTGGAAATGGTGCAGACTGAGAATATTTGTTTCACTTACCACATGCTCTCCCATCACCTTGGGCTGCTCTGCTGCTGCACAGAAAGGTCACATTTTCCTACCCAGAGGGGTACTTGTTCATTTTGAATGGCAGAAACTCTCACTTCAGCATTACAGGTCAAGGAGAAAGCTCTTGCATCAAGAGATTACTTCACCTTAAAACATGCTCTGAGACACAGCAGACACATACTCAATCTGATGTTTAGCCTGAGAGGACGTGAGCGCTTAATGGAACACCCTGACAACATGACCATGCTAAAGTCATTTTTCAGGTAATCATTTTTCAAGTAACCGTGAGCAGTTCAACTCTGGCAGCTGCAAGGGACAGGTTATCAGAAAAGCTTGTAATTACACAAACACAATTCGCAGTGCTTCAGACAGAAGCACTGCCGAAATGAACTCAGCAGCCCCAGCCTTCAGCTCCCATTTAAAACTTGTTCACTTTTCAACTTCACAACAGATGGCAAGCAGCTGTGTAAGGGAAAAAAAATTGTGAGATGTCATTCATGCAACAATGCGTACACCTGGGAACAACTGAGCACCACCAAACCTACTTCTGGTTAAAAAAAAAAAAAAAGGCCAAGTTGCCAATCTGGAAATGGTGTGACTTGCATTTTCTTTAAGAGCCATCAGTGGGATTTTGTAGACAATCAGGTGCACTCACTCAGTGATATCCAGAATCATCATTACATGGAGAAACTGAAGTTGGCATCAGCTGTCACAAACATGAGAAAGATCAGAAGGCAGAAACACAAAGTCTCCCCAGCTCCCTCACAGGGAGAGCAGTATGGGCACAGGAACAGAAAACGCTGGTACAATGTCCTTCTCCACTGGTCCTTGTGCTCAACTGTACGTAGCATCTTTTTATACAGTATTCTCCACAAAACTTCACATCTAAACAAAATATAGCTACAGAGAGAAATAGCAGAAGTTAGGAGACAAGGCAAGGAAGAGATTTTTCAGGAACATTTGAAGTGATTGGGGAAGAAGAAGGATACACAGTAAGGTCGTTCTAATGGCAGGAAGTGCAAAGGTGGCTCTATTTCTACGAGTGAAAATATTGCAAAGGGACCCAGAAGGTTTACTAGCGTATTAATAGAAGGAGAAAAAGAAGAAAGAGGTTTGGGAAAGA